TGTCACAAATGTCTCAATTCGAGTCTATGTTTCCGTCTAAAACATTGCGTTCCAGTGCTGAAAACCTTCAAAGGCGGGAATTCTGATTGTTTGTTAATCTGTGCTTCTGTTATAGATTAGTTATAAAAAACTATCATAACTTTTTTCGGATATTTTTTGTTTTAAAAAGTTACTGTTTTTTTTTTTTAATAATTAAAAAATTAAGGACAATTTTAATTTGGTGTATTTTCACCACAGCCATAAATGTGGGACTCTAATACTGCTAACAAGTCGATCAATAATTTCCTGTTATAGATTCTCTTATTTTTCAATTATTGTAAGATCATAATGAGTTCTAGGAGAACTCCTTCGGGCAAGAACAGCTCTGGAAAATATATCCCATGCATGCTCAATGGACTTCGTATCTGTAGACATCACAAGCCACTCCTTCTTCTTCTTCCTATGCCGTCCCCATAAACGGAGATAGGCGACCACATTTCTAAAAGTATCTGTCTTTTGCAACGTGGAATAATTCGTCTAACAGTCATGTTTGTTCAGTCTCGAATATTTCGCAGGCATGACTTCCTCTTTTTACCTATTCCCTTTTTGCCATCCACTCTATGCCATCATACATAACGACCTGCAGAAGACTATATTTATCATTCCTCAGTATGTGTCCAAGGTATGCAGTCTTGCGTACTTTTATTGTTCTCAACAATTTGTTGTCTCGACCCATCCTTCTCATCACTTCATTCGTGACCCTTGCAGTTCATGGAATTCTCAACATTCTCCAGTATATCCAAAGTTGAAAGTCTTTCAGCTTCTTAACTATTTGCGCTTTTTACGTCCATGTTTCTACCCCGTACAATAGTTACGGGTTACTAGGGCCAGACGTAATATTCAACAAACCTCAGTCTCTGAGGCTCTCATATATTTATGTTTTGTCACGATCTCTATTTGCTGTCCTCCAAGTGTGACTTGTTCATTATTTATTGGACTCCTTGATACTATCATAAATTTGCTCTTATCTGTGTTGATGTCTAGTCCCATCTCAATGCATTCACTATTTATTGCAGCTCATAAAGTTTGTAGTTCTTCTTTACTCTCAGCCATAATTACCATGTCATCTGTAAATCTCATGGTGTTTACGATTTCTCCACTAATTCTTATTCCCTCTTTGTTTTCCCTAAGGCTTTTCTGATTATGACCTGTGAGTACACATTGAAAAGGGTCGAAGACAAGACGCATCCTTGCCGGACCCCTCTCGCAATCGGTATATTATTTGTTTTTATATCGTTCACCTTTGCTACAGGCCACTCCAAACTGCAAATATCTTCTGTCTGAAGATAGGCATTAACCGTTTAAGCCCTATATTGGCGGGCGGTATCATCCATAAATAAAATTTTCAACCAAATATCCTTGCGATAACCTCAAATGAGGTTCTAAAATCCGTATGATGTATCTTTATTCTGTTCCCCTTCACATTCCTGAATCCCGTCAATAACCATCAATTCCGTATATACACCTGCTACAATACATGCCAAAAACATACACTGCCATCGGCGAAAGGAAGTAAGGGACAGGCATGTGCTAGTTTTGCAGCTCTTGTTGGCTTTCACCAAATACGAATTCGTGGCGAATTGCTGTAAATGGCCTTCTTCAACTAAAGCGCATCATTCTTGCACGGTCCATCTCAGCAATAAAATAACGATTCGCTATAAATCAGGTTTTCACAAATTTCACCAGACTAAATTTTTCAAATGTTTACATCTTGGCAAAAGCGGAGCAATTAAATGGGTATTTAAATAAAATAAAAAACCAATAAAGGTTTTTTTTTATTTTTACTTTAATTTTTGTTTGAATTTTTCATTACTAATTGTCATTATTATTTAACTTACATTTGTGATATGTAGATCATTATCTTTCACATCTGTCGTTCATTCATTTTACTACTATGCTGGTCTCAGTTTTTTTTGCTGTTTTTGTTTTCAATAATATTTACTGATTTGACATATTATGTCCTTTTGATCGTTGTGCATCGTTTCTTCTTCTACTGAAGTCGTTAATCTCTAATGATTGGTTAACCTAAGTTTTCCTTCGTATTCTTCTTCTTTTTATGTAAACCTGACTGTTTTTAAACTTACCTATAGTACTGTACTGGACGGTACTTGCTTATCCATTTTAAAAAATCCAATCCAAACGTAATGCACCGCACCAAACAAGCGAAAATTACACTCACGGACTGTGTGGCATAGACGCTAGAGGCTTACTGATAAGGGAATCGGGCAGTCTTGAGCCCTTGTTTTAAGTTTTAACGATTAATACTCGAATGATTTTAGTCAAGCATCAATAACATTGCACCATTGCATCTCTGAGTGTCTAGGACCAATGATATTAGAATATTGGGATCAGGATATTTCGGACGGAATTCTCCTGATTAAGAGATTGGGCCGATATCAAGCACAAAATAATCTGGGTAATTCCATCCGAATTGTCTTGCAACGGATAGTATTATGAATTTTGGAATAGCAGATATTAGCAGAAATAGACGTTTTGCGATAATTTCCAATGGAGTTGGGGACACTTACAAACAAATAAAATTTTAAATATCGTTTAAATGGATAATTTACAAAATTTTAAATTTTATTTAATTGATATTAGATCGAGTTTTTTTTTACTAAAGACACTGAAGTGTACTTACATTAAAATCTGGTCAGTAAGACCAATTATCAATTTGTTTCTAACTTAAATTACTAATGCAAACTTAAAATTAGGTGTCTACTCACTAGTATCTTTCCTATTATTTCTAATAACTAGCATTAAATTTAGCATGCATACTCACACAACACTTTGCTCTGCTTTTTACTCACTCACTATACCCGTTCAAAAGGCTTTGTTCTTTTGAGCCTTCTCTCTGGGTTCGTATTGTTGAAGAGCTGGATAGCCTCGACGTTTACATGATGATGGAGTCGTTGTTCATGGCTCCCTGCATTTTCTTGATTATCTGATTGACATCTTCCATCTTGAGGTCCCGGTGAAGATGGTTGTTCCTAACGTACCAAGGCGTATCTACGATGTTCCTTAGCACTTTATTCTGGAATACTTGGATTACTTTGATGTTACTAGGCTTGGCACAGCCCCAGAGTTGGCAGCCATAGGTCCATACTGGCCTCAGTATTTGTTTATATATTAGGAGTTTATTATTTATGGATAGAGAGGAATACTTTCCCATCAACCAATACATTTTCTTGTAGCGGATGCCTAGTTTATCTCTTTTCTTCTTTACGTGAGCGAAGTTTCGCATCAAGAGTAATCCCCAAGTACTTTGCTGATGTTGCAATAGGCACTTGGACATCATTTATTCTAATTGGAATATTATTAATTCTCTTATTGGTAAAATTTATATAGATTCATTTATTCTCATTCAGATTAATTTTCCATTTTTTGGTTCATTCATGAATTGTATTTATTGAATTTTTGTAGTTTTTATGTAACTGCTTCGACTGTGTCACTTACTGCTAAGACAGCAGTGTAATCTGCAAAGGTAGCTATGGTGTCGTCTTCTAGTTCAGGTATATCACACGTGTATATTAGGTATAGGACTGGACCCAATACACTCCCTTGTGGAACACCTGCTTCAATATCCTTGAGATCTGTGTATGCATCTTCTTGTTTAACTCTAAAATGTCTGTTCGCTAGATATGATTGTAATATATTTGAATATTGTTTAGGCATGAATGATTTAAGTTTATGTATCAAACCGTTATGCCAGACTTTATCAAACGCCTGTGCTACATCTAGGAAGGTTGCAGAACAAACTTTTCTTTTCTCTAATGATCTTTTAATTGTAGCAGTTATTCTATGCACCTGGTCAATTGTCGAATGCTTATTTGTAAATCCAAATTGATGATCTGGAATTATTTTCTTTTCTTCAATTATTGGTAGGATTCTTCGCAGGAGAAGTTTTTCAAACACCTTGGACATCACAGGTAGGAGTGATATTGGTCTATATGATGTCACCTCATTGGAGGGTTTCCCAGGCTTTGGTATCATGATCACTTCAGCTATCTTCCATAAAACTGGAACATATTATAGTCTAAAGGCAGTATTTATTAAATTTGTTAATTTTACGATAGCTTCTCTTGGTAGATTTTTTAGCAGTCTTCCGGTAATGAGGTCATAACCTACTGCTTTAATTGGGTCGATTTGTTCTTTAATTAACTCAGCTACTTCTTTTGGGGAAGTTGGCTTGATATTATCATCTATTTGCTTTGGTTCGGGCCAATCCTGGTCATCGTCTTGGTCATCTTGCAACTTAAATGTGTTCTCTAGATGAGTGGCAAATCTCTCTGCCTTCTGCTGATTATTTTTGGCCCAACTACCGTCTTCCAGTTTTATTGGAGAAGAATGTAATATTGGCCTTTTAATTCTTTTTGTAGCTTTCCAAAGCGAGTACTCTGTGCTACTGTCGTTTGTTAGCTCTTTCAGATAAGATTTAATAGATTTATTCTTAATTTTCTGGATTTCTCTTTTAAGTTGCTGGCTGGCATTGTTTAGGTTAGTTTTGTCTCGAGGGGCTCTCGTTTGCTGCCATTTTCTTCTTAGTTTTCTTTTTTCTTTTATTAATTCACGAATTTCTTTAGGGTAGTTATTCCCTTTAACTTTTGTTTTCAGTATGGGAGTGCAATCTCATGCTGAATCTTGAATATCTTGAATATCAAATAAATTTTCTTCTTCTTTTCTTCAAGAGTTACTTTAAAACTTTTCTAGCCTGTGAGCTTATTAGTTAAGATCGAGTTACCACAAATTTTAATCCAAATAAAATAAATTGAAATTTCCATAAACATCACATATTTAATAAAGTTAAAGGTCGCTGGGGGGAAAGGAAAGAAAATTCGTTTAGAAAAAAAAAATAAAAATACTAATATACTAAAAAATAACACTAGCACATTTCCAACTTTTATTTTTTCGATGCACCCTAGTGAACATATCTATTATAATGTGAAAATTTAATTTTTTAGGTAGTTGCTGTGCATATTGATCCCACAATTTTCGACGCCTATTATAATGGATGCTGCAATGCTACTTTTTGGCCTCTATTCCACTCCATGCCAGATAGAGCGTCGTTTAAAGCTGAATATTGGAGAGCCTATTTGAGAGCCAATGAAGCTTTTGCGGAATGTACATTGAAGGCGTTGAAAACCTTGCCTAAAACATCGACTGAGGTACCATTGATCTGGGTACACGACTACCATCTCATGTTGGCAGCTAACTGGATTAGACAGGTGAGTAAATATTATTTATCTAAAAGCTTGCCTAAAACTTTGCAATAAATACTAGGTGGATCCAATCAATTGTTATCTATATCTCCCAATTGTATATCTCCTAAATAAAAAACATGGTTCTTTATTTTAAAAACCATCGTAAATTTAACATTGATTTGTTTAGGTCCAGGGAGTGAACTTTTTTAGGACGAGTCTGTAAAATTCTTTCACTTTTTAACGATAATTATTATTGGCATACTCCATCTGTTAGTCTACAGACAAAACTGGTGTAGAAACGTTCTCTTATTTGTCCCATAATCAGTTTGTAGCAAATATTACTGTTGTTCTAGGTTCATAAATTGTAGGTATGTATTTGTCGTTTTATTTGCTCGTATACCTTGGTTAGGAGTTCCATTATATCATTACCAAAAGTGTTATGGTTAGTCGTAATTTTAACCGAATAATTGGGATAGAGTAAGTGAATAATGTCTTATTATTAATCATTATTAATATCTATTATTGTTACAGGCAGCAGATGAACAAGAAATTAAAGTGAAATTGGGATTCTTCTTACACATTCCTTTCCCTCCCTGGGATATCTACAGACTATTCCCATGGGCAGACGAAATACTTCAAGGTATGCTCGGCTGTGATCTGGTAGGGTTCCATATAACTGACTATTGTATAAATTTCGTTGACTGTTGCCAAAGAAGCTTGGGATGTCGAGTTGACAGAAAGAACCTGTTGGTTGAACATGGTGGCAGAACTGTTCGGGTAAGGCCTCTACCTATCGGCATTCCCTTCGAAAGGTTCGTTGAATTAGCTGAAAAGGCACCAAGAGTGATCTCAACCAACCAAAAAATTATACTCGGAGTAGATAGGTTAGATTATACGAAGGGACTGGTACATAGACTGAAATCTTTTGAAAAATTGTTGGAAAATCATCCCGAACATAAAGAGAAAGTATCATTACTTCAAATTTCAGTACCCTCACGAACAGACGTAAAAGAATACCAAGATCTTAAAGAAGAGATGGACCAGCTTGTAGGAAGAATCAACGGAAGGTTTACGACACCTAACTGGTAAGTTAAATTTAAATTTTTTATACGCTTATAAGTGAGAGTAGGGAATTAGTATTAATGTGAAATACGGACTTTTAATTTATATGCATATTCATTGATGTATGTATTTAGATGTCTAGTAATACGTACGATATAATATTTTGTAATATTTAAAATCTTTATTTTTTTAAGTCTTTAAGTTTTTTATCTTTACTTCAAGCTAAAATGTTGTCGCTTTAGATTATCTACTGACTGAATGTATTTATAGGCTTTATAATCACTGATAATGATGCATAGCTGTGGTTTGAGATTTAGCTGTCGTCTCGCTCCACTGAATTAATGACATTCGGCAAGAATGTATTTTACTGTTATTTGGCACTGGCATGCTTGACAGATAGGCTAGTCATCAGATAGTTGTGTGTTTGCTTGGTGTGGCTCATACAGATTCATATAATTGTAACGTCTTGCCTAGTACTGTATGGCCAGTGTAAAGAGGCTTATACAATGAGCGCTGGATAGCACGTACCGACGTATTTGAGGAACTTCAGTGAATACTCTTTTGGTGAATCTGTGTTTTCATTTTTCAGTCTTTGAAAATTTGGATGTGAGGTGTTGACGTGGTATCTGGTAAAGCCGTTTTAGCACTCTGATCCATGAGTTCGTTACCAGGTATACCAATGTGAAACGGAAACCATAAGCTTAGTATTTAATGTAGAAGGTGGTGGTCGGTAAATAAGTCCTAAATATATATAATAAACGCTAGAGGGTCTGTAGAAATGGCAAAATTTTTGTTCAGAAGGTCAATATGCTTAACCGTCTGTAAGAGACTAAAAAACTCTCTAGTAGGTACGCTGCATAAAAGAGGAATAAAAGAAGCATAAGTGAGATTGTTTTTAGAGTTGACTGAACAGCAACTCCCAAGAACTTCCCGTTTACTGTCAAACAACTACAATAGCTGAATTGAGTTCTCCATTCAACAATACATAGTAGTTTCAATCATGTTCTACCATCCATTAATTAATAGAGTACCGGCATCATTTATTTAACTTTGTATCGAGACCTGAAGATGCTTTGCATATTATAGAAAGCGAAGCCGGTCGTCTGATAGTTAAATTAAATTGATTGTGAGTAAGTCTTATTTATTATTTCTTTACCTATTTGAAATGGACTCACACAAGCAACACATTCATGATTACGACAATTTTGCTTGTTGGCTAGCTATTCAACCAAAAGTGAGCTTCGTCGCTAAACATAATTCGCTTATGAAAATCGGGATCAATGGCAATCTCGTTTTGCGCCCATTCTCCATCTGTATGCATTACAAGTTGAACTTTCTCATCACACAAACCAAGATCTTTCCGCAACATCTTCCATAAAGTGAATGTTTGCATATCCAACTACTTTGTACGATAACGTCAAGTAAATTCATGCTTAAATGCCAAACAAAACTTAACATAAATCACTTGACAGCTGTCAAAATGGGCGACAGTTAAAATAGTTTTGCCAACTCAATTTCTATACCACTAAAAAAAACACCCGTTCTAACAATGTCATTAGCGTACCTCAGATTATTTATACGGAGTTGTTACATTGTTCTATGTTAGATGTTAATTAGCAAATTATATATTTCCTTTAATATATTTTGTACTACCTTAAAGTTACTTAAACATTCAAATTTATTTTATTTTTTACTTAATATATTTTTAATTAACATTACGTTTAATTGTTTTAGGTCACCCATTAGGTATATTTACGGCTGTGTAAGCCAAGACGAACTGGCAGCTTTTTACAGGGATGCAGCTGTAGGATTAGTAACACCTTTAAGGGACGGAATGAATCTCGTAGCCAAAGAATTCGTAGCCTGTCAAATAAACATACCACCTGGAGTACTCATTGTATCTCCGTTTGCTGGTGCTGGTGAGACGATGCACGAAGCCCTGATCTCGAATCCATATGAAATAGACGAAGCTTCAGAAGTCATTCACAGAGCTCTAACCATGCCAGAGGATGAAAGAATATTACGTATGAATTATTTGCGACGAAGGGAGAAATTGAATGATGTTAATTATTGGACAAAGTCATTCCTCTCGGCGATGGGTTCGCTTTTGACACAAGAGGACCATGACGATATTGGTTCTACAAATATGCCAGCCGTTACTTTAGACGACTTTGACGAATATTTGTCAAAGTAAGATATATTTTAACAACTTTTTGATAAAAATAATGTTAATTTATTTCAATTTATTTATTTATTTATTTCAATTTATTTTTTTTTATTTTGGCCCCTACGAATACTTTTATATATCTCACCACGTTTCCAAACATTTAAAGCCTGGAGATTTTTATTTCTTATCACTTAACATCCATTAGCATCATCAAGAAACTAAGACCTTAGATTATGCTATTAGCACAAATATCTAATTATCTTTAATATTATTTTCCTTAATTTCCATAACTTTGTCACGCTTTTTGTTACAAATACCTCAAATACTATATTCGAAATTTTATGGTTTTTTGACGCAATGCTTTTTAACCAATACTCTAATATTCCACAACTTACTTTTAATATTTTATTCTTTTAACAAATACTTAGCAGTTTATTTTCATTCTTCTTTTTCTTCTTCTTTTTGTGCCACTCCTATCGGAGATTGGAAATCATCAAGGCTATTCTGACCTTGTTTACGGCTGACCTAAAGAGTTCATTAGTGGTGCAGCCAAACCACTCTCTCAAATTCCGCAACCATGACATTCTTCTACGGCCTGGATTCCGTTTTCCTTCTATTTTTCCCTGCATTATATTTTGAAGTAATGCGTATTTATGTCCTCTCATCAGGTGACCAAAATATTCGAGTTTTCTTCGCTTTAGCGTTAACAAAATCTCTGGGTCTTTTCCTATTCTTCGTATTACTTCACAGTTTGTTATTCTTTCAACCCAACTAATCTTCAGCATTCGACGGTAGCACCACATCTCGAAACTTTCAATATTTTTCATGTTTTTCTGTTTGAGAGTCCAGGCCTCTACACCGTATAATACCGTGTTAAATACATAGCCTCTCAGCAGTCTTAATCGTAGAGGGATGCTTATATTTCTGTTGCAGAAGAATTTTCTCATCTTTATGACGGTGGCCCTGGCAATTTAGATACGTCTTTTTATTTCACTGTTTTGGTCTCCAGTTTCGTTTATTAAAGTTCCCAAGTATTTGTAGTTTGATACTTTTTCAACTTGAGTGCCGTTTATACTAATATACGCTGGTTGTGTCATGTTTTTACTGAAGACCATATACTTGGTTTTTTTAATATTGATATTTATACCATAATTGTTGCAAGCAATATTTATGTCTGTAAGTAATCTTTGTAATTCTTCTACTGTTCTTGCAACTAGTACAGTGTCGTCCGCGTATCGAATATTATCTTCAATCTCTCCATTAATTACGATTCCTCCGTTTGCTTGTAAAAGGGCTTCCTGACAGATGCTTTCACTATATACATTAAATAACAGAGGTGACAAAATGCAACCCTGTCGTACTCCTCTACGTATTTCTATTGCTTGTGATGTTTCAGTTTCTATTTTGATGTTAGCTTTCTGATTCCAATATAGATTGAGAATTATTCGCAGATCTTTATTATCTATGAAATTCCTTTCAAGAATCTCTCTAAGCTTATCATGGCGTACTCTGTCAAACGCTTTTTCAAAATCGATAAAACACATATGTACCTCCTGATTAACGTCTAGGCATCTTTGTGTGAGAACATTCAAACCGCAGAGAGCTTCTCGAGCACCAAGCCCTTTTCTGAACCCTATCTGTGTATTACTAATATCTGACTCCAACTTTTGATAAACTCGGTTGTGGATGATTTTTAGAAATATCTTTAGTAGGTGGCTCATTAAAGATATTGTTCGATGTTCTGAACATTCTTTAGCATTAGATTTCTTTGGCAGTGTAACGAATGTAGACAACAGCCACTCTTGAGGTATAATGCCAGTATTGTATATTGTATTAAATAAGTGCAATATTATACCTATTGATTCATCATTCAAGAGCTTTAGCAATTCGGTAGGAAGCTCATCCGGTCCATTTGCCTTCCCAGTTTTGGAATATTTAAGTGAATATTTCTACTTTACATTTTAGAATTTCAGGTCTCGTTTCGCCATATATCAGAACAATGTTATTTCTGTTGTCCTCAAATAATTCTCTTATGTATTCACTCCATCTATTAATTTTCTCTGTTAAATCTATAATAATCTTTCCATCTTTGTTCTTATTCAAACTTATTTGACGTCTTCTTTGGGTTCCTGTAATTTCTCTTACTTTTTTATGTATATTGAACGTGTCATACTTTCTTTCATAGTTTTCCATTTCTACACATTGTTCTGTAATCCATGATTCTTTGGCATTCTTCTTTAGATTTAAGCTATTCATTTAATTGGTACTATAATATAAGCGTCTTTAAAGACGATTTAAGTCTTGAAATTAAATATTTTTCGACAATATTATAATAAAAAGCAAATTAGACGTCAAATTATTTTACTTTAAATCGTTCATAATGTGTTTTGCAGATACATTGGAAACACGCATAAATTGGCATTACTCCTCGATTACGATGGTACACTGGCTCCTATAGCACCACATCCTGACCTCGCTATTATTCCCGCGGAAACTAAAAATGTTTTGCAAAGATTATCCAATATGTCAGACTGCTACATCGCCATTGTCAGTGGAAGGAATGTTAACAACGTTAGAGATATGGTAAGTCTTATATTTTACTCTATAAAAACAAATATGTTGGACTATATTTGGATTTGATATAGGTATCCGACTGAATTATGGAAAGTTCACATATTTTTCACTATTTCTAACAACAAATATACCAGTTTTCAATCATATTCAACATCTTTTTGTCCACCTTAACTACGCTTAAACCGCTTATAACGGTTAAAACATGTGTACACAATAAATACTAATTGCCATACACTTCGAAAATTCGTTGCGCTATGTTAAACTTAACATTTCTTCGATGAAATAAATAGCTCTAATGCAAATGTAACTTACATTCTTCTTATCGAGCCCTATCCAATTGTTGGCTACAATTCTGGCATACTCCTCTCGATCTTGTGTGGCTCTTAAGAGTGCATGGGCATCGAGGTTTGTTCAATCCTTTATGTTTTTAAGCCATGAGTATTTCTTTCTTTCGATGCCCCGTTTGTCTTCTATCTTCCCTTCCATAATAAGCTTTAAGAACTGGTACTTGGAATTTCGAAATATATGGCTATCGAAATATATCGACTAAAGGGTAGTTTGCAAAGTCATTTAAAAGGAAAGGCTTTATGCTAAACGGTTGACTATAACGGCTTTATGCAACGTCAGTTTTGTTATTTGGTAATTGGTATTTCGTTAATTAATAACCACACATCCTATTAAGAATGATATGATAAATCATAGATGCCGATAACATTATCACCAACTAGCGTTTTATTTTATTTGTCTTATTTAATTAATCTTATAACTTGATAGATCAATGGTGCTTTGCCCTTCCTCAACAAATCTCTAAATTCGTTACGATCTGTGTCCTCCACGATAGACCGTTAATGAGATTTCTTGCGTGTTCATCCACATGATCCTCAAATTGCTTTCTTGGTCTAGTAATAGGTATCTTCTTTTGCATTTTCCAGAGTTTACTATTCCTATTTTCCGATTTTCCTTACTAAGAAGCATATTTTCTTTTATACCAAATACATGACCTGACCTTGAAGACGCTAATGACAAAACTAAATGTACCGTTGTGTTTTGTGTAATACGTGAGGTTGCTGGTTAAATGAATTAGAATAATAATGAAGAAAAATACAATATTTTGATTGTGATTAAATAGCAATTAATTAAATACCACGAATAATACCTGGCTTAACTCATTGCTGTTATCTGTACAAAGAAAAAAACTTACGTTTGAAATATGGTGTATTAATTGTAGCAAGCGGAGTAGAAAAGGTTGCGATGTAGTTACCAAACTAAGTGAATGGCTTTAAACTTAAAAACATTACCATGTGTTAGCCAGTTTAACAATCAGAGTTTACTGAATAAAAAAAATAATATGCTGTAATCTTTTAAACCAAATAAGTAGTTAAAATATATAATTAAACAATATCATATACTACAGTAATAAAAATATTGAATATAAAATATGTAAGTAGATACTAAATACTTTCCAAAATAAGTTGGAAAAAGATAACAAAGGTATGGTTCAAATGTCAGAGTTGTCAATTATGATTTAAACTTTGAGGGTGTACAAGGCAACTATCGAACACGTTGATTAATTTAATCTTGCCCAAGTACTTTCGATCAATAGATCATCTTCAGGGGCATTTCGTCAATTGTGGCCTATCCGACATTCTGTCTCCGGCTTCTTCACAATATGTAGCTTCTCCATATAAATTTTAAAGTGTTTGTTTGTCTTAGTGTAGTGTATTTTGTATTGTTATGTCCAGATTTTACATTTATGACATTCTACTATGTCGGATAGGCCACAATTGACGAAATGCCCCTGAAGATGATCTATTGATCGAAAGTACTTGGGCAAGATTAAATTAATCAACGTGTTCGATAGTTGCCTTGTACACCCTCAAAGTTTAATTATTCGAACATTCAACCTTATATTGAATTATGATTTAATGTTTTTACTGGGAATAAGCCACAATTTAATGTTAAAAATAAGTTTATCTTGACGTTTCAAATTCTACTTTAGAAATCTTTCTTCAAAATATATTATGGAGAACGAGTCACTGAACTTATAATTTGGAGATTGTGAAGATCAGTGTCTTATCAACATATATCAAAAATGCTACCTCTCAAATCCCTCTTAAACCCATAATTATTTAATAATATTTATTAAAACTGCCACAGTAGTAATTTTAATATAAACTTGTAGGTTGGAATCGATGGTATTACTTACGCAGGAAATCACGGTTTGGAGATTTTACATCCAGATGGAACAAAGTTCGTACACCCAATGCCAACAGAGTTTCATGATAAAGTAGGGGATTTAATGCGACAACTACAAGAAAAGGTGTGCAGAGAAGGAGCTTGGGTCGAAAATAAAGGAGCATTACTGACTTTTCATTTTAGAGAAACTCCATTACAAATAAGGTAAACAAAGATAAAGATAATAGAATAGTAGATTTTTAACATTTATGAAATGGTAAATAAAGTGATGTAAAAAAGTTATTTATTACCATATTAACTATTATTCTTTTAAAGAGCATCGTTGGAAAAAGAAGCTAAAACATTGATTGAAGCTGCTGGATTCATCGCTGATCACGTACATTGCGCCATAGAGGCAAGGCCTCCTGTACAATGGAACAAAGGTAGAGCCTCAATATACATACTCAGGACCGCCTTTGGTGTGGATTGGAGTGAAAGAATCAGAATTATATACGTTGGTGATGATCAAACTGATGAAGATGCCATGCAGGTAAAATAAATATTACTAATGAATTTTTTACTATTTAGTGCAGGAGTTTAATGGTGAGAAATATTATTTTTCATCCCAAGGTATACTAGGACGATATTCTTTTATTTTTCATGTTCCAGTACAACTTACATTCTAAGGGTTTATAATCAATAAGGTTTTGTGTTTTTTATCAGTTTATAGGTTTTATAAAATAGTGGGTCTATCCCCACGTTGGGTGCCAATTGTGAAATTGAAGAGCGCTGGGTTCGGTTAGCTTCCTCAGGTCTAGGATCATTAATGCATTTAATATAAATGTATAACATGAAAATCAGACGTTACGGATATGAAAAATCAATAATTTACTGCATTGAGATACAAAAAACAAGCTAAACACTTGTCTACTCTTGTTGATCAGATGTTGTCAGATGGCACATGGAGTGTCTGCTATAAATAATATGTTGGACAACAAAAAAGTTTGCGCAGTTTATTAGGAGGTATTAGAAGCCTATTTCTATTCAATACATACAGAGCGTGGCTAAGCTTCGTAATCCCATCTCTAAACCATAAAACTTTAAGTAATATATTTATGGACAACTCAACTAAAAAAATCTGCATTGATTTTACGATGTTTTAGTAATATGCAAAATGGTGAACGTTAAATGTTCATTAGAGACTGCGTAAAAAACTTTATGCAGTTCTCATAATTATCTGAGAATCTTCATCTTTTATGTTGCAATGCTCAAACAGATACATTTTTATTTTTCTCGCATCACTCATAGACCAAAGTAGGTGGAGGCATGTCGTACGGGCAGCGAAGATTCACAAAGGGTTGTGAAGCTGCACAAAGAAATAGAGTGAGTGTGTATTTCCCACATATGTAGTAAAATAGTTTATTGACTTATCTTAAATCGACATTTGTCTTAACCGATGATATACCTAATGTGATACACCGTTTAAAAGATCGTGGTACTTCATATGTTTCTTTTGAAAGCGAAAAGTCAAGTTATTAAAAAAAATTCTAGTACATAGAAATGAAAATTTAAAAAAAATTATAAACGGAAAGCTTCCGAAAATTTCTTGAAAGAAATCGTAAAATTGTTAGTTTGGAACATTCGAAACACCTATACTAATTTTCTCTGATATCTCTTAGGAGTACACCATAAGCTGTAAGAATAGAGCTGTTTAAAAAAACTGCTTATGAATATTGTTTTTATATCATTTATTTTTAGGCTCTGAAAGGTATGGCAGCTACTTTTAGAGTAACATCCTCTCAAATAACGAAGACATCGGCTGAACGTCGTCTTCCATCCACAGACGCAGTCTTAACGATGTTAAAATGGGTGGAAAGACATCTAGGAAGAAGGAAGCCAAGTTTGGATGCCGGCTTTGTAAGAAGGAACTCTGCACAGATTCAGCACACCATACAAATGGAATTGCCCTTAGGGCAGCAGTCTAACAATTCAACAAAAGACCATTAAAACCTAGCCAAATTATTGTGATGTTATATGTAAATATAAAAATAGGAGTTAAGTTTTTGTTGTGAAAGTGTTTTCTTGTATTAAAAATACTTGTAATGATAAACAAACTACTAATAATGTTGACAGCGCACAGGGTGAATAAAATGATAAAATTTGACAAGTTTACAGATATTTTGAAAAAAAAAAACAATATTACAATAAAGGAAATATTGTAAAATATATGTATTAATGTTTAAATTATTATTTTTGCGATGGAATTCAAAACCTGTAGTTCTTTTTATTGTTAGGATACATCACTGCCCATTTGCCTTCTGTAGTTTTTTAGCTTTTTGCTATCTGTATACATATTGTTTTTTAAATAAACATTTTTCATTTATTATGTTCTAATTGATGCCATATCTAAATCGTATATGATCAAGTAATAGAAGATCAATTGTTTTTATATCAAACCATTTTATAAGAATTTACACTATGTACTGACTATATACAATTAGACATTTTTCTCCAAAAGATCCGTTGCAATTGATTGTTTAACCGTCACTATTAAACAAAGTTGTCTAATACATATCTAGGATAATGAGGTTAGAACAACACTTTGAAAATACTCAAAATTCATCAAACTATTCGATTTAGGTTTGTCGTAAAAAATAAAATAAATAATAGTAAGGTGTATTATGTCAATTATTGATGTGGATGTCAAACATCAACATCAATAATTAGTATGAATTATGTGGTATATGCCTAATGGATGGCAGGGTTTATGCCTAAAGCGGTTCCGTTGTATCTACTTCCCTTCCTAAATAACGCTAGAGATCAAAATAGGCCTTGGAATTCTATAATTCTGTTTCTGTTTCCAACATTGGCGCTCAAGTGCCGCTCTCATGCAAGTTCTGGTTCCCGTCAGGATTTGCACGTCCGCGGCCACCTCACTCACTTTTTTTTTCGGAGCATCTGTAAGATTTATTACGCCATATTTTATTATCTATGGCTTTTATTTGCAATTTGTCTTCAATCACTATACGGCAAAGCTCATTGAAATCTCTGCAGCCCAACCAATTTTGAGATGTTCCTTTGAATAGTGGCGAATAGGCATGCATGTATCTGGATTAAGCTATTCTATTTTTGCTGGTTGATCCAAAGATCTTAAGAATCTTTCTTGCAAAAATTACTTTTTATTCTTCTTTACTGCTCTTATCTGGCATCCATACTATACTATTGTTCTAATGATAGTTTTATTCGATTTCTAATGTACGTTTTGAAGCACACACATTAGCCAGCGAGTAACATACATTGTTGCCTCTTTTTTTGTCGAATTTTTGCTTCTTCTTTTATTTCTGTATTTACTGCATCTTTCAGATTTGTGAATCTTTTTACTGCTTTTGCATTGTCTATCCCAATTTGGATTCTATTCCCTTTTGATATTTTTTGTATTGGTATTTTCACCCTTGGTATGTTTATTTTTAATCAATATCCTTGGTCTTTTTTTTTCAGTAAGTACGAATCTCTTTTAATTTTTGGCTATTTTATTGCATAGTTAAAATCCAGATTAAACAGTGTCAGGTTCGACCTACAGCATTCTTTTAGCCTCCATGTGATTGCCCTTTTATAAATGAATAAAGTATTAAAATAATCACTTATATTTTTTGTTTTTGTCATAAACTTACACATTTAATCCCCTGTAGGTTCGTTTAGTGCATAAATTATTAGTGTAGTTATAAGTAGGGAATTAGTAGAATTCAAAGATAACTTGCAACAGACCTTTTAGGAAAAATAGTGTAAAAACGATATGTTTCGTATTTTTTTAAATATACATAATTCTGGTGAATCCAAAACTATTTTTACTAATCTTAACACATTTTCTTTGTATTTATATTGTTTGTTTTATTTTTTAGTGTTACTTTACTATTAAAATAAATATAAATTTGTATCAAATAATGCATTCAACCTCTTTTAATTGTTGTGCCCTGTGCTAATCAATATAACAATGTTTTAAGGATTTCAGTACACTTTTTTTAATTCTAAACTCTTTCTAATATATACAGAAAATGAGAATTATGGAAGTTTCAAAGTACATGTTTTAAAATGATCAATTTTAGTGGCTCTAGATAAGTAAATCATAGCAATGAAACAGCTATGAGCTGTTTCGGGGGTCTAAGTCTGTATAAATAGTATAACACGAGCACTTTAACACCTTCAGCCCCGGGTGGCATCAATACGATGCCTCACTAAATAGTACTCTTGGGACAGTGAGGCATCACTCTAATGCCATACTACAGTTTTGCATTCGTGACACCGTGGCATCAACTGTGACACCGTGGCATCAACTGTGCCCCCACAGCTATATAAATTACATTGTAAGTTGGATAGGGTGGCCCAAGCAGCAAAATAATATTTCCTGATCGGATGTGAGACGTTTTTTACGAAAGATATGGAAATTATAAAACTTTATAAAAAAAATAAAAGATTTTATTCAGAATGTGCAAAAATAATTATAATAATATAGCACCTTATTATGTTAAAACAGCATTATGTGTTTAGAAAAAACAAGAAATACAATAATGTTTTTTGCATTGGTTGCACAAAAATTTAGAACGAGAACACTTGTTTTGAGCTTCCTTCCGCCCCAAATCATTCTTCATTCTGACGTAGCAAACCACACATCTGTTTTTTGTTCCTTTTACAAGCTCATGACTGACATCGGTGTTATCGTTGATATTAGTTTCAATAGCGGACATTTCGCCCAATAGTTCTATAGGGACTTCTGTTTTGAACTCTGTTATAGTCAATTTAGTTTGTGTAACCTATATAATATACAATATGAGCATTCCCTAAGGCACTACCAAACAATAATTCTGTGGCTAATTTCCTGTACCATTTATTCCCTCGTCTCCAGCAATGTGAAGACGCTTTTTTTTATCTGAGAGATCAATAAAGGATGTTGAATCATTGTAATCAACAATCATTTTGGGCTTTTCAAATTCTTTGCTTTTGTGTAGACGTTTCAACATTTCATCCCCATGCTTTGTACTAATCATCAAGACATCCCTTTTGTCTCACCATTTTAACATTCAACTCCGGAATTACTTTGTAGGGCAATTTTTTTATTTTTTTTTTTTTAGTTTTTTCTTGACAACCTCGGGACAATTCATTTTTCTGTTGGACCGAACAGTGCCTACAAGGTGAGTTGTACGGCTGAGCAGTGTATGAGCAAGGGTAACGCTCGTATAATAATCATCTGTGAAGAAATTACGACCACTATCTAACAACCCTTCCATAATTGATAGAACAACAGAGAAAGAGGCATTTTGACCACCCTGACTATCTTTTCCACGGTAAATTTTGAGGTCAAAATAAGTGTAGCCGTTTTCTAAGCAAAGCTTATATAATTTGATACCAAGTTTCTGTTTTTTATTTTTGATATATTGCTTGAGTTTCAAGCGACCACGATAAGGTACTATCCTCTCGTCAATACAGACATTTTTTCCTGGAGTAACAATTTGCTGAAATCTAGAAATAAGTTTTTGAACCAACGGAGATAGTTTGTGAAGCCGATAAAAATTCAGTGAATTTGGTTGTGGCGCTGTTTCATTATTGTTGAAGTGAATATTTGAAAGTAATTACTCATAACGATTTCTAGACATTTTGTGTCTTATATTGGTAACAAGTAATTCACAAGTACCCCAAAGAATATTTCCATTTCTTTTCTTGTAGTTGGTATCCAACTTTTACATTTATATTTGGCTACAACAGGTCGGCCATTTATCTGCTGATCTGCGTATAAATTTGTTTGATCAACTATATAATCGATCAAGTCATCAGTCACAAATAGTTTGTAAAATAAATAAGGAGTATCTGATAAATTCTTGTAATATTCCAGTCTAAATCCCAGCATTCTAAATAGTTACGGAATTTTTTTTTGGACAAGTTTAGTAAAACTTACCTCATTTTCAACGGCCCGTAACGCTATTTTTTGTATACCGCTAGGCACTGGCACTGCAATATTGCGTTCGTCCGGTACTTCACTGATCCCATGTAATTAATTTTCTCAGTTTCCTAGGAAGTTCTTCGGAAGAATCTGAGGTTTCTGTGTCACTGGGTATATAATCATCTGATGATCCAGAATTTCCACTCCTACATCTTTATCTGACATAAGCTCTTCGTATAAACTTACAAGTCATTTCTGTTCTTTTCGTAGGAATCTTAAATTTCGTAATTTAAAGGAATTAAACTTTGGAGATGATTAGCGCTATTTGAATATTTTCTATAACCTTTCTTAAAACTGTCTTTGTGCTGATCTGATACAATTATGGCTAGTTCTTTAGTCAAGAAGTTTTGGGATGACCTTGAACATCAGTGTTGAAGACTTCAATACGTAAGTGGTCATGCATGACTATGTGCCAAGTAGACCAGCATCGCCTTTTTGTTAACAGGTATTCACACGATGATACATGGCTTAGGATTACCTAACGAAGCAGTTGGTATGGATGTCGAACTTATCACGTTCGTTCAAAGTTGTTTTTATACTTTGAACAACTACTAAAGAAGTGTTGATAAATTTTGTAAAACAAAATATCTAAAAGACTAAAGAATGCAAACGTATTTAGATTTATCCTTCTGTAGTTCATTTATTGGATACCAAATTGTGGGCTTAGAATATTAAAATTGCATAAACTTGAGGACTCTTCATTAATCTGCGACTACATTACGTCACGATTCTTAAAAATGTGCTTAAAACTGACAACATTGTCGTTTCATGATTCGTGAGGCTTTACTTTGCATAATAGTAATTAAAACCCTTGGTATTTTAATTTATTAGTACGCAGTATGTCTAGGAAAGTATTTCAAATTTATGATTCTTATGGTGTGGATGATTTCTTTTGGTTTAGCAGTTAGGTTAATACTTCTGTATATGGAACTCAAGAGAGCGTAATATGCTTTTTTAAGCATACATTGATATTGCGGTTCCATAGCAAAATCGCAATTTTCGTGAAATCGCCTTATGATTATTCCATTTGGGGATATTATCCCTCGTGTGCTGACCCAATTTTAGTTTAAATATCTGTTCTGCTGAACATATTGTATGGATTTTCCATATCCTTGCAGAATACCTAACATCTAACAATGTTTTATATTTGTGCTGCTATTTACGATGCTTGTTATAGTTTTTGTAAATCTATTAAAAAATATATTCAAAACCTAGACTGTTAAACTTTAGAAAGCAAAGAGAAAAATGTACTGAATTTTTAAAACTACATCAAACATCTTTATCAGTTACTAATTTGGATATGTGATTATAAACATGAGTTAAATGTTGGAAGTTATGACATCTGTATATGATTTAATATGGTTTCTGCTAAATTCTTTAGTATATCTTC